CTAAAAAAATTCTATAAGAAGAAAATAAATAATTTTTATCTCTTGCAGGTTTTTTTGTAAAGTTGATAGTGTTTAAGTAAAAAATTATTGAAGATCAATATTCGGCAAACTTTTTAAGATTTTCTCACAAACTTGAAAAGCGCATTAAATCCCTTTATCCAGTATCACTTGACATGCAGACCGTTACAATGAGTTTTGTTGCAATCGATTATTACGTCACGTCCTCTCCTTGTGAAACAAAAACTTTGTAAAATTTTTATTGAAAATTTAATTGGTCTTCTGTAATAAGTAATTTTTATTAATTTTTTTATTTCTCTTTGATAATTTAAAATTGAAATTACACATATCTGTATTCGAATTTGAATCTAATTTGTCCTTCTATATTATTGATATTTTTCAAAACTGAAATGCCTTAAAATTATCTATTAATTAAATATCTATAATATAAAGTCTCATGCAGATGCGCTTATATAGCGATTTTGGTTGGTCGCATTAATACGCATTAGTGCATATTAAAACCAATATTGTACACTGATTTAATCTGAATATAAAAATAAAATGTAAATATTTTGAATAAAATACATATTTTACTTAAAAGTACAATAAAATGTATTGAGGATTTAAATACACAACTTTATGTCAATTTATGTACGATAGTTTTAATATGCATCAGAGTGCGCACTAAACGCGTCTAATCGAATTCGCTATTAAATAAATGTATTTATATTAAAATGCAATATTAATATTATACACATTTATGACATAGCGTAGATGTTTGGTTCAGTAGGTGTCTATTAATTTTATGTCTGTATTTTTAAAATATACTTATTGTTGGAAGATACAAAAAAATGTATCTATAAATACAATACATACATAATAAGTAGTACAATCTGAAAGAAGAAATGGAAGAAGAAAAACTAAAGATGTATAATGTAAAAAAATACATAAAAATTAAAAATAACTATATTAATATATTTTCCTTTATTATTACAAATATAGATATGTATATTATTTTTTTATAATTTCTGCAGATTGGATTCAGATTGAAATATGAAATATCACGTAATTGATAAGAATGCATAGATTGCTTTATTGATCTAACAATGATACTCTTTTCAGAAAAGTTTGGATAACGTCAATTCTGTTTTTTTCAAGTTTCTTATAAATATATTTAAGCTGTATAAACGAAGAAAACACAGAGGGTTGATGCACACTGCGATACATCGTAAATGAAAACACAAAGCCGCATCTAAACAAAGGACAGACTGCTTAAAACAATGACAACTTTATAAATGATAAATGCGTCAGGGAATACTCGAAAAGCATTCTTTGATCTTGTTTTATGAGTCATTAAACATGTAAAATAAACCGATTAAATATGTCTATCCAAGAATGCTAATTTTATTAGTAGTAATTGTTATATAATACAATTACACGAACTGGTAAATTTGCAATAATGCGCATACAGTCAGTTTGCACAGAAATGTTTTTGTCCACCCTCATTAAATGTGAAATGTCAACCAGTATCAACACATTTTAATTAACCAAGCTCTTTATCTCATTTACCATAACCAAAAGACTAACTGACTGCAGTTTCCCAATTTATTAAATTTTCGTACAGTCTCAAGCAATTGTATTTTCGTGTAACACACATGCGTTCGATATTCAACAGTTGTAGTCCTTAGCTAGAAAACCATTCCGAAGTCTGTCTGAAGAAGACGAAGAGAAGAAGAAGAAGAAGAAGAACAAGTCTGTCTGGAAGAGCAGACTTCTTGTTTTTCTACTTCAAAAGTCTCCAACAGGAACAACTGTGCTTCCTCTTAGAGGTTGTTATTGACGCACTTCGGATGTATAGTAGAACAACTTCGAATGGGAGACGGTTTCTTTTGTACATACATGTACCTTATTGCAAGTTGAGAAGTTGAAACACCCTTTTATAAAGTGAATGTTTTTTTCAAATTATAGAAATTAAAAGAGAAAAAGAAAAAGAAAAACTATTATTGATACGAGTTGTATTGTTATTACGTTTTACTCGTATATGAAAGTTTGTATATGAAAGTATTTCAATCACTCTTATTCTTAATGCTATTGTTTGGATATAATGTATTTATGTTAATTTCTTTATTTATAAATTGTTTGGATGCAATTTCGTGTAATTAAACATTACCAGGTGGCGTGTGCCGCTGCAAAGAAGGTCAAATGAAAGCAACATAATCTAACTTAAGGCTGCAGAATACCAGCATTTTTGTCCTTCTCGCAACTTAACCCCTTCTACGTCATCCCCGGCGGGATTAAAGATACTGAGAATGCGGAACCTCAGCCTCGAAAGGGCCTCGGAAAGTGAGACAAGTTTAATCCCCTGGCTGTAATTACGCCGTATTCCCAGGCTAAAAATATTTCGAAGCCCGAGGAAAGGATAAATGGTCAGAATGTGAGGGACGGTCAATTAAGCGCGACTTTGTGCTTTCGTCTGGATTTCCCGCGTGATTTTCGCTCTCTCAGCATTTATCGTTCTGTGTTGTCCATTTACGAGAGAATCGGAAACACTCGGACGAACACGTGGGATCCCGACGGTTTACGCTCGTTTTGATCCACTGAATCCGACAGCTTGCTAATTTAAACGTTTTCTCATAGCATTAAATTTATTTTACTTAAAATATCTCTTTTTATTTACATCAATGTATTAATATTTAAAATCAAATAATTTCACATTAAACAAATCTGATAAAAAATTGGTAACATAATTTCTCCTTCTAAATTTGAAGATTACAATCTATCACAAAAGAGCTCTTTAATTCCATCATTTAACATCGAAAATAATTGTAATTAAAATTTAACCATTCAATATGAATTGCCGATATTGTAGCGTAATATTATATCTGAGCGAATATTATGTCAAACGGCAAAGTTTCGTCAAGAGCTCATTAACTAAAAGCAATTACTGAGACAGACAGATTTAATTTTCCGTCGACGATAAAATTAATTCAGTGCGGCATTCATCTAGTATCTATAGGATATTAACACAATAAATTTTGTATAAAAAAGATCAATTCAACGATGCATGATACCTATTTAATGTATTAATCTAAAGATGTATAATAAAAATAAAAAATTAATTCTTTTATTATAAAAATAAAGAAATGTAAGCAAGTTACATTACTACAAACACATAAAATTTGTAATGACTATTGCTAATAAATAATGACTATTGTTAATAAAAAAAAACTATTGTAATAAATTTCTTGCTTTTTTCATATTATTTATTAAAATTAGAAATGTTTATATAATAAAAAAATGTATGTACAAATGACACAAAAAAAATTTAATATAGCAGGTTTTTCCTATATGATTTTATATTTTATTATTTATATATTACATTTATATAATACAATTTGAAATTGTTTTCAAAGTATACATAATGCTTATGGATACACGTAATAACAAAGTAAAATAGCGCCGAATATTCGAATATTTTTTTTAATATTACAGTAAATGACAATAAAATCTTGTTTTCTGTTATTACGTATTCGATCGAATCAATAATGTTCGCACGAAGTTCAAAGGTTACTATAATAAAAGCGGCAGGAAAGAAAGCGGAACCAATAAGAAACAGATCAAGACAAAAACGAAACTTGAGAGAACCTCAGAAGCGCCTTACGATAAATCGTGGAAAAAAAAGACCTTATCAATGTTGGAGACAGAGGGGAGTGAATTGTTCCGGACAAGGAATCGATATATCGGTATTTTTTCGCACTTCAATATCTATTCAGAACTTTTTTAGAAACTTCCGTGAAAGCTGTAGTAAGTGAAAGTTTAATTAACCGGAACATATGAGAAGAAATTTAACTAAAAATTGTAGCATTGCACTAAAAATGTAATTATATTAATTAATCATGAAATGTATCAAATAAAAATCAAGCAAATACTTTAAATTTAACTGAATAACTGTTTTCATTAAATTTTTACTAATAATTTTATTTTTACAATTATTCATTGTAATTTATGTAACTCTATTGATTAGTGCATAGAAAAGAAATCTATTAACATTATTAGCTAGTAGCAATCTAATTAGAAGTAATTTTGTTAATATTGTTATAATAATAATCGTTGCAATTAAATAAGTATGTCATTCTTGTTTTAAACTTTTTTGTTTGTTTCATTAAAACTGCTATTGATTAAGATTATTTTTATTTAAACAAATGTTACATTTTTAAGTAGACAAACATTACAACATCATATTTCCGTGTATTTAGGAGTGTAATGTTTCTAAACTGTAACTAAAAAATTGCAACAATCACATTGAATATAATATCTTTATTAATTTTCATTTTTTCACAAATAAATGATTATTTAGTGTTGATCAAATATAACGTAAAGCGACGGTCGATACCATGATGACACTTATCTCTTTTGAAACACTCTGTGACGAGATTCTTCGAGGGTCACTCGATCGAAGAAACGTTTCGTGATGCTATTGTCCCTTTACAAGCGCACCATCGTAATGCTTTACTGTATGCAATAAAACCAGTTATAAAGCAGGATATCGCAAAAAAAATTACCTAGCAGGTGGCTACAGGATAATTGAATCGACTCACGTCTTGCAAAAAAAATTTAAAAATTCCGAAAACAGCCATGTATTAAATGATGAAGACTCTCTCTCTCTCTCTCATCAGAGTTCACAAATATATACAGATACTGTTAAAAATCATATTAATCATTAACAACAATATAATTAAAAACATTATTTTTAAAAATAATATTCATTATTATAAATACAATATATGTATTATTTTTTATAATATATTCTTTTCTCAAAACTCTTGTTAGAAATATTTACACAATGAGATTTTCAAACAGAAGAATACGAAATGTAAAATAATATTTAAATACATTGAATATTTTATGTGTAGATTCATGATTTTGTGTAACTAAAAAAATTTATGGAGAGTTTTTTCGATATCTATATTATATTTTTTACTTAAATAGATATTTTATTACAGATACCATATGGAGGACCGATTTGGACTGGATGGTGATACATCGCGATCGCTTAGTGTTACTAAGTTTTATGAATCCGATCGGCAACTTGAGTACTGGTTCAGTAACTTCTCAATCTTTTATAACTCCAGATGATGATATTAATGAGAACCTCGATGAATTAACCACTCCAATACCTACAACAAACATGGTGCTTCCCGATGCTGTAGAGGCTCGTATCGAGACAACTACTAGATTCTTAACCGTTCTTCATCCAATCACAGATCCACCTTTATCCTACACTACTTCGATCCCTAGTACGATCCCCAGCAAGTCTACGACGAACGCTGAAACGACTTCAACAACTCTAAAAACGATATCGCTCCCAAAAAACAGTACTGCAAGACGTCCAACCGCAAGACCCATCACTAGGAACGCAAGTTCGAAAGGTAGATCGAAGGCAAAGAATTTTATGAGGTTATCCACCACGGCTAAACCTGCCAGAGTCGTCGAAGGAAACATGACGGCTCAAAGTATGTCGTTAACAATGAACAGTCTGGCTGATCTTGATCATCCCGAAAACTTGAATCTGGAACTTCAAACAGGTAAACCAGTCTATTAACCTCCATATCAAATTGTAACGCATTTAATTTTTTTATTTTCAAATTATTTAACAGCAATGCAATAAAATTAATATGTCAGAAAAATTCTTAAATTTTCTAAAATTTTAAAATGTTTTATGAATCACTTGTTATATAACATTTACAAAAATACAAGAACGTTATTTGTTTGTATTTTTATACATATTACGTAATAAGTAATCCAATAAAATATTGTATTTTTATATACTTTTTATATTTTGAAAAGATATTAATGCATATTATTTTTATTGTAACTTATGTGTAGCAATTTGCATTAAAAATTATTATACGTAATAAAACTTTTTTACCTTCAGAAAATTCATTAAAATATTTTAATATATGTTACTGAGAACTTTTTGCATATATATCAAAATATGTATTTTATGCATAAGTGTAAAATCTTTTCAACCATAAAATTATAAAAAACTATGTTTACAATTTAAAGATATAAAAATATAAAATGTGTAGTATTTATTTGATAAGATGTAAAATGAAAGTGTTAATTACTTCTGTCTCAAAATGAGAGAAATAAAAAAATATCTCTATAGCAAAAATTAATAAAGCTACATTACAAAAACAATAAAAATAATTATTGAAATACACCATAAAGAAACAAAAAAGCATTTTATTTTTTTATAAATGACGATACAAAAATATAAAACAAAACAATAAAATAAGAACGTTATACTTTTCACAATACCTTGTAAAATAATGCGCCGAATAGTTAAATTTGATTCAACCACACTTTGATAGAATAAATAGCGTGAAAATACGCTCGTTCAAAACGGGACTATTTCTATGTCGCATACTTTATTTTTCAGCCGAGTCATACGGTCCGATTACTCTAGAATATCTCAATTACGCCACCGCGCTCGGCGTCTATTCAGTAAGATACCCCGCCGTCTTCTGGTCATGCAACAAAGCATTGGGCACGATTTTCAGTCTGCAGTTGGTCGTAAATTCAGCGCAGAGTCTGCTGGCTTACGCTGGAATGTCCGTCCTTTACAAGGTAAGCAACGCAAAGTATTCAATGCCAGTTAAAACTCACAGGAAACTTCAGTAGCGTCTCAGTCGGCCTGCTCTCGCTTATACGAGATATTCTTGCGGATACAAGAAAACTTAATAAAAGTTAATAAAACGCCAAGGATCTGAGAAACGTCGGAAGTCCTCGAGAAATGTATCGTGAAATACGACGTCTTATTTGAAAAACCTCAGAACATTAGTATAAGTAGAAAGAGAAACTTTTAAAAATTTAGAAAGAAAATGTGAAGCCTTTACTAAAATTGGTACAATAACACAAATCTAAAGTTTTGGAATTCATTATTTGTTATTTTGAAGAATGGTTAATCCTTTAACTTTTTGTATATCTACATAGATAATATCATTTATGTTCTGAAGAAAAAATTTATTTTTAACAATAATAATTATATTTAGACATTTTTTTCTTCATAATTATAATAGCAATATATTTTTATTTATATATATTTTTTTTATATTTATATATATATTTTTAGGTTCAGGTGGTAGGTGCCTTGAAGGTCTTGCCGCATCTTCGGCATCGCACCGTGCCGACAACCAGTACAATTTCGACAATATTTGGAGATTCTTACTTTCTACTAGATCCTCCAGTAACTCTCGTGCTCTTTGCTCTCTTGTCCTTTTTAGTGCTCTGCTCCAGCATGGTCATGTACTTCTACGCTCATGGCAGGTAAATATTTAACATGTTATGCACGAGCCCATATTTCGATTAAACTCTAGCTGTGATTACTTGCCGGGATTTTCTTTCGCGAAGGAAATTATTCTGGTCCATCCGTTATCAGATAAGAGAGAACGGAACAAATTTACTCTTTAGATTACATCGAGGATCATCGAAAGCGTTGAACCAAATGTTTATCAAATGTTTTATTTGAAAATACGAAAATGTACTTACAATTAGTATCTAATAATATAACGATATATTTAATAATTACACTAATCTACGAATTTATATTTTGGAATCATTGCCTGAACAAACGTAATCCGTTTTTTCGAACTGAATAAATCTCTTTTCTAAATTTATTTATCACGTCATAATTTTAAGAAAAATGTATCAAAGAGATAAAAAATAACGATTTTTAAAGTTTTTGTGATGTTGTAATACTGGCAACAAATTTTTGTTTAATTTACAAGGGAAAGATCCCCCTCCGATTTTAATGAGCTTTTAATGTTTTGTAGATGAAAATAAGATAAAACGTATTTGTTTATACATGCATTGTCGCATTTTTAAGGAATAAAACATTAATTTAAAAAATTTTTTTTTTTAAGCGAATATCATCGAAACCATAAAAGATAGAAAAAAATGTTTGAAACGGAAGTTGAACTATTTTAAGAGTACTTAATAATTGCAATTAAAAATTTTGTATCTATTTTATTTTTTGTTTAAACAAAATTTTTTTAATTGTTACTATAAAGTATTCTTGAAATTATTTAACTTTTATTTCAAAGGGTTTTTAAAATTTTTTTCATAGTATCGATAATATTTGTTTCGAAAAAAATCCGGTTTTTTTAAAGGGATGTTTTATCTCTTAAAAGTGCGATAAGCTACATATAAAAAATCCATATCTGTTATTTTCTACAAAACAACATATTAAAGCTTATCAAAATCAGAGAAGATTCCTTTCCTTATGAATTAAAAGACATAAAATTTCTCTTGTAAATCAAGATGAAATATAAAATTGATAAAATATAATATAGCTATTGTCAAAATGCTATATCTCGGAAATAAAAAATTATACCGAAAAAACCAAATATATTTTACAGTTAAAGTTACTTTTGCGTGACATTAATAAAATTTTTTTTTTAATTTTGACAAATTTTGATATTCAAAAAATGAATATAGATACGGAGATAATTCACAAAACACATAACTCTTATATAGAAAATATCAGCGATAGTTTTAAAAGTTTTGCTTTTTGATTCGTACCGTTTTTCTCAAAATTGTGACGTGATGATCATTTAGAAAATGGATTTGTATTTGGCAGACATAAATACTTTAAGAAACAGCTAAACTGTTGAAACATTTTTTTATCGTAAACTGACGTAGACTGATGTCATTTATACTTTTCTTATAATTTATCTCTTCTTTATTAAACACAACAAAATTTTTATAAAGTTCATTGAACTCCGTAGTTTTTACGTTCCATTTATCCATCTTTTATCTGACTTGCTAATTCGTTAATTTGAAACAGCATTTGTACGCGTAAGTCAGATGATCGTGCTCCCCGATACTGTTATTATTCAGTATGAAACTCAATGGTTTCCTCCTTATAATACAGCCCAATCCTCCTTTCTGAGCTTTCCCAGCATCCAACAAAGGATAACAATTAACAGTTACATTGGTATCGCAGGATATCTTTTAAAGGAATCTTTAAAAGAAATAACGTTTCCATTTAAGTCCTTTTAATTAAAAAAATAAAAATAATTAAAAGTAGTCCGCATTAAACAAGGAAGGAAGAAATATGTTTTTTTAACTTAGCTACATCTAAAAATGTATAAATTACAAAATAGATTTATTGTGAAATTGTGTGTGATTCAAAACGGATTAAATTCTTTGCAGTATTTCAGAGAAGCAATATTATAAAATCAAAATGTAATTTATAGCTTTATATCCTGGCATGCGTTGTGCAGGTTTACGGCGTTCTTGAATCAGGAACGTGAACGTCGCGTGATCCTGTCGAAGGATAGCCGCGAGGGCAACGGTTGGGTCTATCTACCTCATTGCGCCGCGTTCGTCGTGTTCCTGGCAATCGTGATCTGCGGTGCGCCGTTGCTCTATGATTTCACGGTGGTGTATCGCGGTAGCCTGGACGGTGCCATTCTTGCCTGTATCGTCGGTATGATCCTGCATCTTCTCCTCTGGCTGCTACTCTGGATATTCCTCACCATCAAGCAACGATGGACGTTCAAGTTGCGCGTGACCATCGGACGCGCCACTGTGAGGTCCGCGAGGTCGGTCAAACTTGTGACCGACGTCGACTTACTCTCGGCGAGGGACGACGACGATGGCACCAACGCGCCGTTGCTCGTCGTCGGTAACGGCAGGACTTACACTATCGCCGACAGTTCGCCAAAGAGAGCCATCATGAGTGTAATACAGAAGGCCGCCATAGAGAGAAAAGCGCGATCGCAAGGTAACAGAAACGTTCTGACAAAGAGCACCTTTCGGAAACCGGTAAATCGGATTTTTACTCTTACCGGACAACACGTCAACTTTTCTTTCAGCGCGCCACTTGAAAAATGATATTTTTGAATGATTGAATTGTTTTATATCCGATTACACTTTCTGCAACAATTTCTTTTAAGAATGAGTGCTTTTCTCTTTTTCTTTTTTGCCTGAAGCCGAAAAGACAGCGGATACGAATTGTCGGGCAGAATGAACCACGTAGCTTCAATTCTGATGAAAGTACGCGCGGCTAATACCTGAAAGCGATTTATCCTTTTCCGTGCCGATTGCAGGTGGAAACGTCGATGGAGTCGACGGCGAATCGACAGCTGACGGTGATGAGCAGATCTACTGGCTTAGACCGAAATTACGTCCCTCGCCTACACAATCCCCGAGCGACACCAGTGGTGCACCGACGTCCGATAAGGGCTGGCTGAACAAGAAGCTCAAGCATAAGGTCACCTTTAACGACCTGCCTAGTACGTCAGGCTCGCGGTAACTACCCTCCTCCCTCCTCTTGGTGTCTTTGTATCTGTTTCTATGCTTTCACCACTTTGTCTACGTTACACTACGTTGTAATACAAGTAGCGCTTTATCCATATTTTTTATTGCGTTTGAAGTATTAAATACTTATGAAATGGAATCTTTCAAACGGTTACAATTAGATTATGGTAGTATTTCTTTTCTCTTCTCTTCGCATCTTCGTAAGATGAAAGAATATTCCCCAAGTAAAACAATGTATGGCAGTATGTATACAACACACACACACACACACACACATACACACACACACACACACACACACATATATACAAGTGTGTAGTACAACTTGTATATATGTATATTGATAAGCTTGAGCTTTATTTCAGTAAAGCACGATGTACTATAATTATCGAACATTCTATCTTCTTATCCTCACAATTTGCTACGTATATGTATAATATTCACCTTAAATAGTACAAGTTGTGCTTCTTTATATTCTACTAACTTCTTGTGTCATCTATTATTGTTATCAATATTCAAATGCCTTGAATTCAAATATTTCGAACTATTTCTTTTTACTTTCAATATCTTGTCATCGTTTATGTGCGTTAGTGTACGGATTTCAAAGTTTTCAAGAATTTCTTTACATTTCACCTTTGTTTATCTGTCTGTGTATACCCATATCTATTCCGCTTGATATGTTTTATCCAAACCTATCATTCTGTCACTGTTTCTCCATCCTTCTTGAATTTCTTCGGCAATTGCTGTGTACGCATGGAGAAATAGGACGCTATTTGACTGTTACGTTTGATTTCTAGTAATAAGGGAAAAGCCAGACGAGGCGTCGCTGACGGCGGGCCTGACGATGACGGAGATTACGCCACGTTACGCGAATTACCGTTAATCACCTCGCTGGATCCTGCCGATGATTCTACCTCTGAAGAAAATAAGGTAAAATATATATATATATATATATATAACTATATATATATATATGTAAATAGAATATTATATATATATATATTATATATATATATATATCGATAAGTTATTCTTTATTCATAGAAAAAAGAACTATTTAGATTATTTTTCCGTACGTCGAAAGTAGAAGGTATATATTTTTAAGAACATCCTATACATACATTCATTGTTTGGATAAAACATCCTTTTCTTTTAAAGAATTCATCATTTTATTGTGTTTTATTTGATTGCACTGAATACGCTTTCGTCACATTTCTCATCGCTTTTAATTTAGAGATTTTCTTTGCTTTTGACAGTGGCAAAGATGGCCGATAAGTCGTAGGAACAGTATACCTAAATTCAGGAATGTAAGATATATACAAAAATATTTCTGTATTTTTACGTAACATCAATTAACTATGTGTGATGTTTCTGATTGTCCACTAACTTAATCTTGTAAATATAAGTATGTTTATTAGAAATTTATTAGAATATTAGGTATAATAAGCATGACTTAAATATATCATGCTTTATTTATAATATTTACAATGTTATTATAAAATAATGTATTTTTGATATGTATAACTCTACATAAATTAATAATTTATATAATTGACATACGCGTAATAAATAAATTAATGTCTTTTAATATATGTTAATGTGCAAAATAACAGATGTTTTCTAAAATATATATAGTAAGAGCAAAAAGTAATTACAGTGAGAGTAAAAAGGAAATTTGTTATAAAAAAAATCTTATTTATAGAAAATAAACATTAATTAGCAATTTTATACAATGAATACATTCTGTTTTAACACAAACAAACGAGCTTTGCATATATTCCTAATTTTAGAAGCTAAATTTCTCGTCTGTACGAATACTTTTTAAGCATTCAAACAATACAATTTTTAATTTTTGCTTATTTTTCGGATGATATATTTTGTATAACACATTTTTTTTGGTATATATATATATATATATAATTTTAAAAAACATACAGTCTATTTTATTCTTTATGAATAAATGGTTAATTATCCAACAAGAAATGATCATCAATTAAATCAAATGAAATCAAATTCATGTTGAAATAATCGTATTTATATCAATTCGACATCAATTTGATGTCTTATTTCTCGCTGGATAATATTTACTTTATAAAAATAAAGTCTTTTTAAAAAATATTTTCTCTACGAATACTTTTTGCACTTACTGTAAATATACATATACATAAAAATATATATATTATATATAGATATATATAAGGTTTGCAAAACTACACAGATTTTTCATAGCTTAACAGTTAGATGTGCAGCCTAACTATCTATTTCGCAACTTTAGTTTTAAAAATGATTTTTGTTTACTAACATTCTTATCGCTAAGCGCATGAAACCAAAACTACGTCTTCTCTCGAATACTAACAATGCCGCCTTTTGACAGTTGCTCGAGTGCGTGAACGACGATCAAGTGACTTACTACGCGAGTGCGAGTCGCGATCTACAACCGTCGGAAGGTGATCCTTCGCCTCTTCTGACCCCAGATCCTCTACCCGATCCCGCAGAAGAACCGCTTCCATTGCCACCCCCGACTCCAACATCCGCACCAACTACCGATATTGTCACGGCGCCATTAACTACAAATGCCCAGGTACTAACAACCTTAACTACGCACTGTCTGCTCTCAGAGAAAGACATAGGAGGTAGCAACTATAAAAATGACAACTATACAAGTTTTATATATAAAATTGTACACTCAATTGAAAAACTATTTTATAATTATTGCAAGTATGTATATTAATTATATATATATAAAGCTATTAAATTCTAAATATATAAAACTTGTATAGTTGTTACCTTTATAATTACTATCATTATGTATTTCTCTGAGTGTGATTCACGTAGACGAGGACACGAGACTATCGTTGCATTCGTAATGTACTCGAATCAATTGACGATTAAGGGCCAGTTGTTCCATTTTTCACATAAATTATGTGGTAATTTTTCTAATGGATAAAAGAGTAAAAAAGTAAGAACATGAGAGAGTAAGAGAGTTAGAGAGTGAACTGAAGTTTATCAAAAGGTGGAACAATCCAGTTTAAGAATGTGAAATTATGTATTAACATACTACTGGATAACTGGACATTTTTTAGAAATCCAATTTTTTTGAATAGCAACGACAATCTTATTCACCGTTTGCAATGTTTAAGACCTCGCACGTCACTCCATATTATCCCTATATCCTGTGTAGCCAAAAAAAGAATGAAACTGCAGTTTGTTATAAAGAAGACTACACGTAGTTACTTCAACGTATCTTTGTGCATCGTCTTTCCCTGTGATATGTATTTTCGCGCTATATGTATGTTTTCGTCGCTTTTACAACACTGCAACCAGAACCGCAAATCGTAACTCAACGATGGAACTTTCCAGATGAACGGCGGGCAGACGCCGCGATGCCTGCGCCGTGCGGATTCGGGGATGCCGCATGATGAGTTGACACCACGCTCGGACTCCTCGAACTCGCCACCCTTGGACACGGTAGGCAGTGGTGGTGGTGCCGGTTCGGTAACCGGTCACAGCAACACCAGTAGCAACAGCGAAACGTCGAGCGGCGTGCACAGTAACGCAAGTAACGCCAGCAACGCCAGCCACAGTAGCTCCCAGCGTCGGGCGACCAGCGTGGACGACCTAACCGGAGAGCCGCGCGAGGAGCCGCGCGAGCAATGGCGCAGCTGCTCCCTTCAGCGTGGTACACAGCCACCCTCAGCGAATATGACGTTCTCACCGCCCAACAGTCGCCCTGGCACCAGTCAATCCTTCTCCTCGCCGCAATACGTAAACCATGTGCCGCCGTACAGTAATGCTGTTAACGAGATTGGCTCCGGCTGTCCGGCAGTCATCCTGGAGAACCCAAATGAGGCGACGGTCGTGATCCGTCGCAAGCTCTCGAGAACGAAGCTCACGGATCCGTTGAATCCGAATGAGGAACCGTTTGGTCGATCCACCAATATGAGGATGACTTCCTTCACCGAGAGCAACGATATTCGCATACAGGCCTCCTCGGCAACTTTGCCGCATTATCCTACACAGCCTATCGTCACCTATCCTCACTGCTCCACGATGCCGCTGCCGCATGCGTCCCATAGTGTGGCCACGGCGAACATGAGCGGTGGCTCCACCGGCAGCTGCGGATCCGTGCCAAGGCACACCTTCGTGCCTCCGCAGGTCCACTCCACTATGCCAGCACATACGACTCTTCCGTCGCATCATAATGGCGTCAGGCTGCTCCACGCTAACGTCGTTGGCCCTAACAATCCCTTCGTCAAGAGATTCCCGCCGGTGCAGTTGCATACTCAACCCTGGGCCCTGCCGGGCCATCATACCTTCCCTCAAATACCGCAAAGCAACAACAAGCTCACGGCCACCGCGCAAATCAGACAGAGCGATCGAGACTCCGCGAACTTCTCCATGGCTAGCAGCGGGGATTCCGACACATGTTTACCGCACTAAGACTCCAGAACTGCTGGTAGTCATGAATTCGAATCGCGTTAGGTGATATCTGGTATTTTCGTAATGATATTTTCGTGATGACAAATGACATCGGAGAGCAGTTTCCAGGCATGGCGTACCGATGTCACGATTATGATCTCCCCAAATGCTTATAAATGAAAATGATAGAAATGTAATAGGCAAAGGGTAGAGAAAAAAGAGAAAGATACCTTTTTGCGCAAACTCGAGACAAGTATATCTCTAATATCTTGCTTTGAAATCAATAAATCTCTAAGATTCACGCGAAATTGAAATACACATTTAGTACACTGCATTGTCAGTATGGATCATTAGAGAAGAAGCTTTTACGTATTTCATATCGTATGCTCAAATACTGAAATTTTAAGAAAATTAATCGGATTAAGGTTGAAACAACATATCAATTTTTGTCATTTAACGTACAATAATGGCATAATATATGGCATTCCTTAAAAGATACGGGTTATCTATATTTTTTATAATCTGATCTCAATACATCGATCAGATTTTGCCCGATTATTTATGTAAGTGCATCTATGATATTAATATAGAGTTTATTGCATAAATTGCATACAAATGAGAAAAATTTAATTTATTTGAATGAGCAACGTGCGCCAATATAAATACGTAAAAAAAAACAAATTGAGTCTAAATTATTATATACGTATATCTTACGGATAGCCTACGAAGATAATTGTAATTAAAAGACATCAATTCCGTTACATACATATCTTATACGTTGTGATTATATATGTCCTATTTTATCTTTAATCTCACAGCAATAAAGAGAGATATTTAAAACAAATAGTGATATAAACAATAAAACAATACATGACTTAAGAAATTTTCATCCTGGTTAACTGCAAAATAGTTCTAAATCATGCAACAATAAGTAATTACCGCAAAATATAAGTAATGCACATACTATATATCACAATTTAAAGGAAAGTTAAACAGATTAATAATTAAAAATATGTATAAGTAATAATAAATCTCTCTCTCGAGTTTGCGCGAATATCTCTCGGTACGTATCGACTTATGCTTATAGCTGAAATCATCTTTCTCATTTTCCTATCGCGAGACAAAAGTGTTTGAAGGAGAATCAGAGAACGAAGAAGATCAGCATTTGCTGCATTTAATGCCGCAAGGAAACGGCAGGCGAGAGTGAGAATAACGTAGTTATCCCATTTTAGGTATGAAAAAGTTATTGTGTTGTCTTAAATAAAATTTGTGTATAGAATGAATTAAGAATAGTCAGATAAAAGAAGGAGAAAACGTGGAAAAACTCGGATCGCCCCCTTCGTACAGCGTACGCTTTTGTATTAACAATTAAGATCTTTTTTCCACCGATGACTGTAAATTTTGTTAAAACGTAATTTGTACATTGCTAATTGTTTGTTTATACCACGACTCTGCGATGAGTCACTTATATGCGATAATACGAGAAAAAGAAGAAAAAGAGCATTCCCGCATTGGAATGCACATTTAAGTTCAATATGTTCATATGTTCAATACGTTTTGTCTTTCGTTTGCTTTTGATCTTTTTTGTTTCCTTTTTACATATTTATTGAGTTCGTCTCGTTGAGAATCAATATTTATTTGTCAAATTTTCTATAAATTGTATGTTTAAATAATTAGGAATTACATGCGAAATGAATATGCAGGCGGTTTTATATGAGTCATTGTAAAATATGCAAGCGCAGATTATAGATTATACGATTTTCTTGGCCTTGATAAGATATGATTTCCGGTATGCTACAAATATATTGCTGCGTTAAATCTTTTGACCTGATAACGATGTATCATAATCCGTCGTAACTTTGATCATAATCATGTCATAAGATTTCCGATATTAGCAGTGCCATTGAAATTAATATAAGCACACACAATCGGAAAAGGAACACGACAGGAATGTTTTATTATTCATAGAATTAAAACCCATGAGTGAGAAATGAAGATAAAGCTAGAGATTTACCGCGGAAATATAATACGTGCTATTTATTTATTTGCAAATGGCTCAGCATCTCTTTGTAGTTTAATATTCTCTCTTTTGTTAGGGAAATTGCACAAAATATGCACAAAATGCGTACATGCATGAAATTTCATCCATTTTATTTTATATTGCTTCTCTCTGGGAGAGAAAAACATAAAATAAGTTTTTCGCTTGATTTCTATCCACATTATTTATAACGATACAACGAGTATATTTATATTTAATGCCTGCAATATATGTACATCTAAATAAATTATTGGCACGTTGTTGAGAAAAATAAGCGCGATTTATGACAAACGGATTAAGAAATGATTACTGCCACTCGATCATGAAAAAGAAACGATCTACAGATCTCGATTATATTGTATTTACTTATTTCGTCGACTGCCATGTTATTTCGTCCTTTTGTCAATATAAGTAATCACCGTACTCGTTTGCTCGTACCTAAGCATTTACTTGTGCGTATGCTATCGGTACGTGCATACATATACATATATACATATATATATATATATATATATAAAGAATACATTATTACTAAGTTGTGTTCTTTTGCGATTATATGTATATCATTCTATGAGACGCGTGATGATAGAGACTGGTCTCGCAAAGATGCATCAAAGTCTTTCTTGCAATCTAATGCAGTAGATATTGCCTCATAATATGACGCAACGTTTGTTTCACCTCCTCTCCGCTTTTCGACAAATCTTCCGGAAGTCAATACAAATCATTTCGTCCGCCCAATGATATGCCAATATTAAAGAAATGTTGCATCGTATGGATGGTAATGCGTATCATTGATTTGTAATTATTTGTAACAATGTAATCGAATTCGTTTTTTAATAGAAATGGATTTAATTGCATGTGAGTTAGCAAACTGGCTTTCCGTTAGATTGCGATAGGCTAAAGAAGAAACATTTGAGATTATAACGTAAGAAAAGGTCAGACAAATGAAGTTACATCACTTCAATTAAAATCAATAAATTAATTAAATTTAATATATATGTAATTTATAAAAATGAAAAATATAAGTAAATATGAGTTCACTGCTTTGAAATTCATATCAATTGATATATTCTTTTTAAATTCACTATTAATATGATGTATCATTGCCTATTATTATTATTATTATTATCGATTATTATTATTATTGTCATCGTCAAATGTTTTGCAATATATTATTAACTTTATATAAAATTGTAGATATCATTTTTTGAGATAAATGAAACGAAATATTGCACTTATTTGTGTGCGTGTGGTGAGCGTAAAAACATTTTTTGTAATCATCGATATGAGAATACGGACGCAATGATAAACAAATAGTATTACGATTGTATACCAGTGTAACATGTGACTGCGGTGACAAGATTTTTATGCATTCCGTAAAGATAATAACTACAACAATAATAAAAAGAAACTGTGAGCGTTCTTGTACGGCATTGTTCGGAACTCATACTTTTCATGAGGCAATGCAATATGAAACTACAAGTAAATATCTGTATTTTTCAATATCTTCCAGTATTAGAAATAGCGATGTTCTCAGCCTTGTTCATAGAATGTTTCTGTTTCTTGTTATACGAACAAAGGTAATTAATAGAAATCGTGGGAGATTTACTTTGAAAAACTCTGCGCTTTCCATTCACTTAAGGTATTACACGAAGAAAATGTGATGAATAATTCAAGTGCAAATCTAATGGGTTGTAATGATTGATCTTGATATTTTATATCAAGAAGACATTTCATCCTGCAACAATACATTAGCAACATTCAATTATTCACATGAGCTTGCAGCTATTCATGAAATAGATTCAACTTATAGTGCAGATTTAAACTTTGGAATCCTGATTCTTTGTGAATCGTGAATAACCGTATTGTCTTGTAAGCTGTGGAAAGCACCTATCAAAGCACAAGAGATCGACCAATTGATCACGAACGGCAAGTCCGTCATTTTTATACGACTTATCGAACGCTTTGTCATTGCCGATCGTACATATCATCTCGCAAGGACCATGCATTTCGCGAAGACATTTACGAGGATACTCAAGCAATAGCACGAATCAAGCATCGATCAAGGGCTGGACCAGACTTCTTAATGATCAATGAGCTCTAATAGTACCCAATGTAGTGCAAACATATTTTTTAATGACTATTTTCAATACGCTAGTAGATGAAAAAATAGGAGAATTTTCGTAGAAAAAAAAGAAAGAACTTAAATTTGGAAAGATTTATTCTGTATCTCCTGTTTGTAGTCCTGTATAGTCTGATAACGCTATCCTTGATTCTGTTTTGAAGTAGGTATTTAAACGCTAGGATCACATTATTTTTCTCAATGCAAATGCTTCGGCATGACACTTTCTTCCACATTCGTTCATGCGCGCATGCGTTGTCAAGAAATCTTCGTTGCAGCATCACTTAATCTTTAAGTTATTCAAGCTATTGAAGTTATATTCAAGCTAAATTTTCAATTTGAAAACACATGGCTCTCCTCGATATAATATAATATTTCTAGTTTTGACTGATTTTCGTGACTTTTTCTTGTTACTTATCTATAGTACAGTCTTCTAAGGAACGTCCTTAAGACTGTTACATTTAGAGAACGTTCTACGTCCTAAATAAGGACAGTTCCAGGCCTCAGAATGTTTTTCGAAGAACTGTGTGGGTCACTTATTGCTCTAATTTTCCAGTAAAAAATTTTTTATGCATAAACATATATTAAAATTAATATATTAATTAGTATTTACAGTTTGCTTAAGAAAACAATTCTACAAATTGTCTACATTGAAGAAAAATTTTTTGTATGTAAATTTTAGTACCTGACTCTTATATGCCTTTACTATTTGACATTACATTGAAAGAATCAAATATTAAATCAAGTACTTTATTCAGTATATACTTTCAAGAATGATAATTGATTAACTCTCTTGCGAACAGCATTCATAATTTATCAGACATTCAACGGAGATTTCTGATAGCGTTAGCTCGCGTATATACAATCGATACATTATTGATCGCGCCGTTGCAATCGCTACTGATACAATTTTTAAAAACTGCACACAACAATGGTAGTAGCACAAAGAAAAAAACCTATCTTTTGATAATTGCACCATGACTGGCGTATATTGCTGCGGCGTAATCGCGATGACCATCATAGAAAATAGTTAATCGTTGACGATGGACATGCATTTCAAAATCATTATTCCAGATACAGTATTTTTACATGTTCTCTGTTTCGGATTAAATAGAACATTTATAGCGTTTGTAAATTACA